CGTTTCTCAAAGCCTTTCTCCATTTCCATTTGGAACGACTCAAGTGCTGGGGTTGTTAGCAATTCCCTTTGCAGACAATTGCGCAGCCCCATAGTTCTGTCTCTTGGGAAACAAGCCCTGTTATTCACTCTGCATTTTCCTCCTCTGTTTCATCCCATTACTCCTAGTTACACGCCTTTGGTTCACACCAAACTCTACTCCCTCACTGGTTTGACACCCTTAAGATGCTGTATTCCCCTTAGTCTTTGGCAAGCCTTGTGTCTTTAGTTGTATCTATTCATGCAAATGGGTCACAACACAAAGGTTTCACCAGTTAATTCTCCTGCCCTCCCACCCCTTTAACTTTAGCAACAACCAGGTGGTAGGTGCCTCCCGTGTACCACTGACAAAGTGCCCCGCAATGCAGTGGCATAGCGAGGGGGGGCTGGGAAGGGCAGTTTCCCCTGGATACCACGCTGGGGGGCGGGCACCAATTTAGTCCCCTTCCGCTCGCCCTGTCATCCCTGGAGCCTCCTCTCCGCCCCCAGACAACCTTCCTCCATCTCCACTGGTGGGTTAGTTCCCCCCCTCTTCCCAGGGTTGGGCTCAGCCATATGCCACGTTCGGGGCCTCGCCCCCCGGGCGCATAACACCCTCGCTACACCTCTGCCACAATGTCCGTGCTTTTCAAGAGGATGTGGATCAGGCTCCAAGTCTAAACATGCTGGGAGGGCAGGGTGACATGGGGCACCGCCTTTCTGCCTAGCCTTGGCTAGCACAGAGTTCAGATCCTACCTTGGCTGGCAGGTGAGTTTGGTATTTGGCCACATTGCAGATTCACCCTGATGTTTGGTTGGTTTGGCAGGACTGGCAAGCCATGCAGCTGTGTGAGAGGCACTGGGAGACCCATGCAGTGGCCCAGCACTGGAATAGCAGTGGGTTCTATAGGCTGGAGTGGAGGAGGTGCATTGGCAGGGCTGTATTGAGCCCTAGGCTGGACTAACCAGGGTTTCTATGGACAGTTGTATGCTACAGAGTTGTTTAGGAATAACTACATCACTCAGGGGTGTGAACCCCCCCCCCGCAGCGTACACATACTGACCTCAGTGCGGATGCAGGCAGCACTGTGTCGGCGGAGAGCGTGTTCTGCCAACCTCTTGGGGAGGTGGATTAACTATGCCAACAGGAGAGCTCTCCCCCATCAGCATAGAGCAGCGGTGGGCAACCAAGAATAGGGAGTGAGTGGCACGAATGGCCCTCCTTCATCTCAGTGGGCCACGGCAGCCTGTGTCCCATTGGGACTCCACCTGCAGAGCCCCGGCCTACCCCCGCCACGTGCCTCTCTCGCACTGGGGCACGGGAGCCCTGCACTTCCCACTCCTCCCAGCACTTTGGGAGCACCATGAATCACCTGATTTGTGATCTGTCCCTGCTCCTCTCCCTACCTCCCAGAGCTTGAACAGCTGCGACTAGCTAATTCATGGTGTTCCAGCTCTGGGAGGGATGGGGAGGAGCAGGAACGGAGCGCAAATCAGGCAACCTGTGGTGCTCCGAAAGAGCTGGGAGGGAGGAGGAGGAGCAGGAAGTGCGGGACACCCTCCCACGCATGTGGCTCACGGGCTGCAGGTTGCCCACCACAGGCATAGAGCATCTTTGCCAAAGCCTAGAGCAGTGCAGCTGTGCCAATGCAGCATGTGAAGGGTAAACCTGCCCTCTGGCTCTGAACCAAGGTGCATTGGCAGAGTCTGTGTCAACAGCCCTGCAGTG